ATATTTTATGTCGCTGTGCATTCCGTGCGTAGGTGGCATAGCGGTTAGGACGCTTGCCGACCATTCACATGGTCCGGGGTCCGATCCCCGGCCGATGCACTCCTTTGCCTCGCTAAACCAGTATTGAGACTGGTTAAGAGGGAAGGTTGGGCATGAGGCTAGCAACCTCATCAAGCTGTAATCAAATTAAAAAATTTAAAAAAACACTGTTACAGAAACTTCAAGCCTCCAGCTTGAAGCACTGTGTTCCACTGGGAACGTGAAGGAAATAAGAAAAACCATGCATTCTGTGATATGATAGCATTCCGAGGAGATGTCCCTGTTGGCCATGTTACAAAACAGTAGGAAAGGTATTAGACAGGTGGGTTGACTTGGTTGTTTGTGAAAACGACAAATATAGGAATTTTTATCATACTAATTGTGTTAAGTAGGAATAAAAGAAACAACCTTCCGAAAATAAAACAACTGGTGAATAATCAACCAATATCTTTGAGATCTCGTCCAAGTCTACAGACAGTATACTCCTTAATTCGAGAAACTGCATTGGTAAGCTGTAAAGCGTGTACGCAGATTGAAGCTGTTCACTGGTGAGATATTGCGTAAAAGCACAAAGGAAGACATGTCGTGTAATTCGTAATTGTAAGTGTTATTTGATAGACTCCTACCTTTCTGGGCAAAACACGTTAATCTAATGTTAATTGGTCTACACATCAGTAAATTACAGTGAGAAAAGACAAGATATTCGAAGTAGTGATTTCTCAACAGTGAAATACTTCACCAGTGTGGATGATTCCCGTAATTAAAAGGTTTCTCCTTCAGAAATAGAAAACGATTCATTCCATTAAGTAGGCATTCTCTCCCCATGGTAGCATATTTTCAATGTACTATCCTAAAGTTTTCAGACTACTGAATTTTTCAAAGATAGAAACAACATGTGTATTACTGGTACCTTTGAGATAATGTCACACTAGACTTATCAGCCGAAGTAACGAAGGCAAACTTTTGGATTACCGCACAACTCACATATCCTTAATCTCGATGTACCATAGGTGCTAAGAATCACAAGCGCCAGGTCACTATTTATCGAGTACCAGAAGGCTATATAGCGAGAAACAGGTGTTTAATGCGCCTGTTTATTAGCACAGTTTAGTTGAAACGTCTGGCGAGAATAGTCTGATTGCCTAATTAAACTTTATTACGCTTCAACTTAGAACGGGAAAGTATCATGAAAGAAGGGGAACTGAAGTGCTATTTCCAGTTCATCTTGCAGTATTCAATAATCCAACTATTCGGAGTCTCTTAGTCTTCGGTAGTTATCCAACTGTGTGGCTTTGTGATCCTACTGAAATTATTTTAGTTTATGATCAAAAGTACTTCAACATTTACACAAGGATAACCGCATGAACAGTATTAGTTTATCAACTATATGCAGATAAGTGATATAAAGAAATTCAGTTAACATTATGCATGAAGTGTTAACATAATCATTACAACTTACTTTCCACTTAACTCATATTCCATTTAAATGCGTCAATGAATTGTCACAATGCATAGAGTGGAATAATGTTATCGAACATTTACCACATTTCTCAGAGAGTCTCGCAAAAGACAGCCATTTATCAGGCAATCAATTAGTTATCTGTGCTGTCAACACTCACAGACACACAAAATGAAGAAAAACGTCTCACTCAAAGGCAGTTTTACATTTCAACGAATAGGAATAGTGTTTAAAAAGACAATATATTAACATGCATGTTATAATTCTAAACTGCATATAATTAAATCAACAAATGTGTTTGTACTTTCTGTGTCTGTATCTCCTGACATAAACCATTATGTGAGTGAGTATGAAGTTAACCAAAATAATGAGTAAAACTACAAATCTATCATAACAAGTATGCTCTTTTACATTAAATAAGCCACACTGAAGGATTCTTAAGTGCTATGCTGTCGCTTTGATCAGTTAATTGGTCAATATGTAAAGGATAACCGCACAGACAGAAAGAATTACAGAACAGAATGCTTGAGCTATCTGGGCTCACGATTGACCTCCTGTATGACTGCGATCGGTACAGTTACTCCTCAATATGGAGTAACCAGTGCCATGCATCTAGTCCTTGGTGTTGGTGTAAAGGTTATTTATCACATTCTCAAATGTTGGTTGTAACTGATGACTGTCGAGTGTTTCTCATGCTAACAGTGTCAGAAAGAGTGAGAAGGTCTGTTGTAATCGCTAATGATTTTGAAGAAATTCAGTTTGTTTCTTCATAAAACAACGTCTAGCATTGGCCAGCAATATTTGAGGAACGCAGTTGTTTTTCACACTTAAATCACGGACAATAAGTCATTATGTATGACTGTATCATATGAACATGCTTCTGAACTTGTTTGCTATGGTAATAGATTTTTGGAGTTTCGTCTTTGATGCATTCAAATCCACACAGATAATTCAAGAACATCAAAGATCGAACTCCATTCATCTGTTGCCAAATCGAACACCTTTAGAAGCATGTTATATATTTGGCTTTCCGATCATCACACACCATCGGCAAAAAAGAAGCGGTTGCATCAGGTCTTCTTAGACGATCACACTCTTTGATGAGATATGACAGAAAAACAAGAAATATCAAACATAACTGAGACTCTCAATCGAAATAGCTACTCATAGAACTTCATCAACCAAATCAACACTGACATCATATATGGTCAAAAACGTATTCCGAAAACATGGACCTCAACAGCTGTCATTCCATATAGAGCAAAGACATCAGACGATATCAGAAGAATACTTAATAAGCTCGACATCAGAAGTTTCTTCAAAACATCTGACACACTGGGAAGCAAACTTGTCCATATAAAAGACCAAATCCTTAATGTTTCTCTACCTGATTGTGTCTGTAAAATAAAATGCTTACTTGGAATGTGATGGGATGTACATCGGACAAACCTCGTTAGTGAGTAATCAAAACCAGAAGAAATGAACAGCGTAGAACATCCGTTGGACCATCGAAAAACGTAGATGAACTAGAAAACTGGGAAAATCATCGGCCATAGGTATACATAGTATAGATTCAGGCCACAAAATTGATTTTGACAATATTCAAATAATCCTTAAGAATTTCATAAATCACAAAGAACGTCTAATATCAGAAGCACTTCATATCTAATGGAATGCAAATATTCTGAATATAAGTGATGGACTGAACGAATGTAATAATCAGCTTCATTATGTAAACACATGCTGCTTTTACAATATAACAGACTTATCAAATTCAATAATTTACACCTGGTTTTGTTGTCTTTACCAATTTACCAATTTGACAACGCAGGTACGAACCCGTGCTGGGGAACGAGGATTATGTTGTTATATATTAGCTAAGATTTTGTGAACCCTGGTTTAATAAAAATTTGATAGAGCTATTAGCAGCATTAAATAACGAAACGTCAGGAAAAAAATAATAATGGTTTTGTTTTTAATGCATTCGCAAAATCTAAAACACTTACAATAAGGAATAAGTATAAGGGACATTTATTACAGTTGTCATTACATTCTAAGACGCTAAGTAAAGCAATTTTAGGATAAACAAAATATGTATTGCCATAATACGTTTACCCATTCATGTAAATACAATCAAAAGAATTAAGTGAACGTGAATTGTGTGTTGAAAATCTTGCAAACTCGTTCGCATGTTAGGCAGAAAGATTTAAGAAGAAAAGACTAAGATAATACATTTATTGTATACCTGTACACATCATTATTTATATTTATATATGAATATAAGCTGTGAACTTGGTGAATACAAGGAATACAAGGACGAGTTTTATTATACAAAACCAAAAGTAAAATGTGTGTAGATCGACTGTGTATTCACTTGTATCAACAAAGTGTATTACCAGAATGAATTGGCTTCTGTCTTTCATGATATTAAGCAGACAAATTCACCTTGTATCAGTGTACATCCATCTACAAAAAGAAAACAAAGCGAACTGGTCATCCTAATTTCAGACGAGAAAACAAAATCAGAATGAACATTGATACACGTGTAACGACGCTTGGGCACTGTGGTTGGTGTATGTAATTCCATATCAATTTGTTTATTAGATATATCACACAGTGAAACAGTATCATTTACCCGATGACGTTTCGAACACAATTCATTGTTCATATTGAAATTAAGTGATATGATTATGAAGAATAAATTGTTATCCAGTAAATAATACTGTTTCACACATTAATTAATTAAAACAGAATAAAAAAATTACTCATGAATAAATTTATTTATTTATTTAAAAACAAACAAATCAGAAATCAGAATAATCTGTCTAAGTGATTTCTCAAGACTCTTAATACATCTTAATATACCTTAGAATTGGTGAACGGTAATTTAGTTGGTTGACACTCAGAATGGTTGATTTGAAATCCTTCTGACAAATCAGTGTTTCGCTGAGACATTGGATAGTACTCCTTTATTGGAGTAGGTAGCTGGACTTATTGTTCGCAGTAAATCAAGTAATATGAGTTCACGTACAAACTACTTCACTGATAATGTTATTTAATTTATCGATGACGAAGCGATGAAGTGAAGTTAGTTTGTTACTGAGTTTAACTACATTAACTTCACAATTAGTGAAGTTGGAACGGCCTTCAAATGTTGGTTTGATTTGATATATTGGGTAACGATGACAGAAAAGAGAAACGCGGAACTCCAATTGATGCCTTCCTAATAACTACATAGACTATATTCCAACTAAGTTGTCAGAGACAACTGATGTTCCAGTTATGATTTAACTGAAATCAGAAAGCACTGCTTTCAGCCTCCATACGAATTAGTGACATCAGTAACATTAACCTAGTACTTATTCATCAGGTTCTCACCATATGACTAGGAAAGTCATTTCATATTTTGACCAAATTCACACCAAATGAACCAATTTCATTACTACTCAAGCACGAGAGAATCACGCAGCACACACTTATCTTACTTAATAACTCACTTTCACTATAAATGACTCTTCCTCACTGATGGTATATCCAAGGAAATCCAATGAAGTAAACCGTTGTACATGGTTTGTGAAGAGATAACACTGTAGTCCAATGTATTCAGTCCATCAATTTTAATACGTGCTGATGCGTTTTTTAACAATGCGTAGCTAAAAGTAAACGTATGAGAGGTAAAATTTAAGGTAGAAAAATGGCGTTTTGTGTATGCAATTACATTTCAACTTACATTATTAGGGGGTTCATTCTGATCGATATGATACATGACTTCAAGGAGAGAATCACAGTTGTTATGAACAACGTACTTTACATGTGATGAACTGCTATGCTAACAGCCAAGGACTAATTGGCGAAATTGTATCCATTTTGAAGCCAACGTTTATAATGGTTGTACGGATTGTGGTACTGGCACAAAAATGGCCTCGTTTTATTGAAGTTATTGGTCACATTTCAGTTGAAGACTATCTTGTAAAGTGCATAATATTCGACAAACATTTTAACCTTCTAAACCAATGATGTGCATTTCATGATGCACTGCACAAGAAAGCACTTGTGTATGCTATCAGTGAATCAATCTTAAAATTCAAAAGTGCATCGTCAATTCAAAAGTGTCAGCAAACACTTTGCTTTCTTTATAATATCAATAAAATCATAAAAACTAATAAATACCAGTTCTAAGGAGACATTCTCGGATTGTCAGACAGAGTTTAGAAATAACACTGAGATATTATCACAAAGCAGCTTACCGGTCTGGATTGACTTCATTCAACTTATCAGTGGCATGACTCAGTGTATAGTAACGACCAATATCTGTACTGATTCGAAATACCCCATATTTGGATTGACTAACTCGAGTCAATAAATCATCATCCTCACCACCCCATCCTTCATATAGGTTTGAAAATCCATTTATTTCCAGAAACTGTTCACGTGTAAATGCCACAACACCACCGAAAAAATCCCTATACAGTACTCTACACGAAAACAGGCAAAATCAAAATTATATTCTTACTATGATCACCTATAAATCCGATTCTTCGAAACAGACATTTTCAAGCCATAAAACAGTAAGTGAGCAAGTAAGAATGTAGGTAAGTAAGTAAGTGAGTAAGTGAGTATAACAATAGTCTCAGAGGACCCACCAAGTTTGAAGAACACAAAAGTAAAATAGTCAAGTCAAGTTATAACCTTCTGACTGCTAGAACGTGTTCACAACCATCAGTGGAAGACAATAGTAATCCTAAATGAAATTAGGTTGAAGGTAAACTTTTGACGTCATTCTGTCTGTTGCAGGACGTCTCTTCGGTGACGTTATAAAGTTGAATTCCCTGAATTCAACAAAATATCTCTTCACTGTTAAGGCTTGAGCAATGACACAGTCAGTGGAAAGAAAACCAGTTGAAGCTACAAATATTTTAGGTGTTCAGATTCGAGAGAATAGTAACTGATAGGCAGAGTTAAAAGTGACTCCAGTGTCGTGTGATTGGAAGTAGATGCTTTTTAGATGCTAATCGGCATGAAGCACTCATATCTTTCGAAATAGCAATTCTTGTGAATTGTGAAACATCTGACTGTCTTTCTTGACTTAGGTAAATTTGTGCATTTAAATTTGCACAGATAATTCAAATGCATCAAAGACCGAACTCCATTCATCGGTTGGGACTCTCACCGACCGTGCACATAATCTGGGGTTTGATCCCCAGCCAACGGACACCTGATATCTATGGTCGGCCAGGAAAATTTTCGCTACTGATATCACATGCTGACAATTTCATACTTCTATGGAAAATACGGTATGTAATCAAACTATAATCAAAAATAAAATAAATGAAGACAGCGTATCCGTTGTCTTCAAACATTTTATAGCAAACACGTTTAGAAGCATGTTCTTAAGATACAGCCATACACAATTACTTATTGTCCGTGATTTAAGTGTCTGGCCACTGCGTTGATAGACGCAGGTTCGTATCTGGGGGCGTGCATCAGTTCCTTCCAGCTTGTGGGCACACATTGCTGACGAGTGTCAACAAGTGTCGCGAGAATCAGATCCAGGGCTACTTGCCAGTCGCCTTCAGCCATCTAACACACTGATACTGTTGATTGGATTGCAACAGAGAAAATGATATGCATTATTGCTTCATGGATTACTTATGATGCATTTCAGAGGAGAACTGATTTCGGCTTCCTAATAAATACACTGGTGATGAAGAGGCGAATTAAGTGAGAATACTTTGTGAACATAATAAACCGATGTGGAGAGATTATCGCATGATTTTCAGATAATTGTGTACTTAAATAACCGAGTTCGAGCCCAGTGATCATAATAATGACAAACATAAACTCTGTTCTGAACTTGGATTCAAATGTAATGCAGTATACAGACGACTGGTATTTGTCAACTCCATTAAATGAGCCCTTTACTCAGAAAAGAATGTTAAAACTTTTGTGTCCGGATCTCTTCGGTCTGCCTACCAAGAACTACTAGTGTGTGCAATCGGCGTTCAATTACTAATATCCATCAGTCAGTGTCACTTTGCATGATGCGGTTACATCTCTCGTCATAATTACTCAAAGGAATTATTGATTCCTGTCACTGACACATTAAAAGAGGAGATAAAGTGGCGATGAAGGAAAACAAAAATACTCTGAAGAAGTCGTCATGTCCTTAATTTCTCCTACTTATTGAATACTTTCATAACTCGCTAGTAACTGAGAACAATAGTCTTACTCAATAAAAGTAAAATAGCTTGAATTCACATTTCAAAATTGTAACAGCTCGACATATACCTCGTTTCTTTTAACACCTTCGTATTCTGGAAATTATTCGCCACTGTAAGATGTGGGAAAATTTCAGGTGATAATAATTTTGAGGTTTATGAGAGTTGATGCAGAGGAATAATATTTTGTAAACAAATTTTGACTAGGATATAAAAGAGAGATAATCAACGTTTTTGGAGGGATTGGCCAACACATTTTACTGAGGATGTGACCGTGGATTCAATTTATTTGAATTGTGTGTTCAATGGAAATTCACCAGAAGAAGTAGAAAGTAAATCGTATCATATTTTGGTACTTTATTCAATGAGACACAGTCCTCTTTCACCAAAGAAAAGAGGTACACTGATGACTATCATTAAACATGAAGAAGAATATCGTATACTAGAAACTCAGGATTTCCATTTACTTAAATTCTACTCTAGAATCCAATCAATTTTCTCTGATTGCCTTTTCACGTGTACAGAAAGCATCAGAAAAGCATGGAATGAATCGTCCAACTTCTGTGAGTTTAATGGTTACCTGGATACACAAGGCTCAGTCTAAATAATTCCACACAGAACGAATCGAATGGCTGATCTCGCCACAGATAAGCAGTGACATAAAACTTAGAAATACCCTGTTTTTGACTTTCACACCCTTTTTACTATCACATTAATTTTGTGGAAACTGGCAAAAGTGTAACGTCTTGTAAGGTAACTTTGTGAATACTGATAGGTATAACTTATCATCTAGTGAAAAATATTAATTTTTTATTGAGTTTGGAAACTTTCAACTGACTTGTAATCATTCTGACTAAGTGCAGAGGAAAAGTGCGTCGGACGTGAATTACACGTATAAGTAAGACGGTCATCTTCAGGCAGTTTGTCCACATCGTGTAAAATGAAACAGCTATACTCCTGCAACTTTGAAACCTCAAGAAACCCAGCATTTAAGAGAGCACCACGGTTAAATTTAGTTTTACCGGTCTGCAAGAAAGCAATAAAGAAATCATAAATTTTACAACGCGGAGTCGCAGAGGAAAACAAGTACTTGTAATTCCTAAGGCCTAAACCCAACTTTTCTTCTGTCAACGTTGTGATAAATAACCTCTGAATACAAAAGTGCAGTGACAACATATTTGAAGGGCATCAATAGGATGTATGAAAACCTATGTAATCACCAAAATATATCTTTTGATAGTTAATAATATCCGAATGATTCTTCTGCAGAAACTCTCGCTTACACAGCGAAACGTTCGACGATATCTTGCTTCGATTTTTTCTCAAACACGCTGGAATTATTTTAAATCACCTACGATGACTTGAAGTGACAGTCTACGCTTGTTCTACTGTAATGACTGAAACTGATAGATTTGAACCTGAGAAATTCGAATGAGTCGCCTGTTTTCTCCTGTTTCCACGCTCCTATTTCATACCAGCCATGGGGGATAATGTTCAGGCAGGAGACCTACTCAGTGCAAAGACAACCCGGGTGAAATTTAAATTCTCTCTACAGAGACCTAATGTTTCATTCTCGCACAAATGATGCGTGTCAGAAGGAATAGAACTAAGTCTCTCGCCATGCGATTACTCGTTCAACGGAAACGGATAAATCTTTATTGAATGTTGAAAAACTTAAGAAAAAATTACAATGAACTCCAAAATTACAGAAATTCCATCTGTTCAGTGACCTACACGACCTTTTGTGATTAGAATTTTCCCTTTGTCTAATCAAGAATACTTGTTAGTGTCAAGGTGATGGTATGTGAAAGCGTAGTCTGTGTTCATAACTACACAAGATCTAGGCAAAATGGGAAATTGTTTTGAGAGTAAGTTCTTAAAGTTTGAACGAGAATGTGTCATCTAGTAGATCTCCTATTTTGTATGTGTATTGAAGAAAAATATTAGTACGCCAGATAAGTACATTCAAAATAACGCACGGTGATATAGTATTGATGACTGGGTGTCGCTTCGACTACAATTCAATGTTCATAATCGTAAGAATGCAGGACTATGTAGGGCAATTTATCGAGTCGTGTGAATGCATTGGTAAGATGAATAAGAGACTGTCGTCGAAACGTCATCTAGTTATTAACACTGTTTCACATAGGGTTACATCGAATACATTTTTATGACATAGAATCTCACACTGCGACAGCGCTGAAATTCCGCTCTTACAATAATGGGAACAATAGCTTTATACTTCTATATATTATTCATAATAAACCTACCTGTTCAATCACGAAAATGGTATATGGTATTTTTTGGTGCCTTATAAACGCATGTAGATGATTTGTTACAATGCGTAGGTGTTCATCGCGATTACGATATGGAATGATTATAGCTGATGACATGCTAGTAGAACAACCCATTGGAGTCCATATTTTAGGTAAACTGTGCTTTTCGGTGACTTTTTCGCTTTCATCACTTTCATTTGATACACTTGTAACGTTTGGCAATGCTGCATCATATCTAGTGTAAAGTGATCCAAATAAAGGTTTTAAATCGGAATTTTCTGCTGAGTTGTTGAGCACAATGTAATCCCTTGGCTGAGAAGATGCATATTTGGCTTCCAACTGTGGCCAAGTTAGTAGATTCAGAGATGGCTGTAGACGACCCACTGAGGATATAGAAAGAGAATTTCTCTTCTGTTTATTTCATAAAATAACGTGAAGAGTGAAGTTACTTCTATCATCAGAAATGATTGATTCATGCAAATTGGCCGCGTTTTCCACAAACCCAACTTCTAGAAACAGATGAGGCTTGGCTTTGCATGAGATGAAGCTAGAAATTTGTGCAATAAAGAAGTAAGTACAGCTGCCTTTCCATCTCGGCCTTAGGACAGAAAAGAGCGACACAAACACTTGTGTTTTTGCCTGTTAAATCGCTCTTTGCATCCTTCCCTTATTACCACCACTGTTACTGTGAATTAATTTCACTTTGTGACAGTTTCCATCACTGTTTTACTTCTCTCTTGTAGTAAAATCATGCAACACTTTACTTCACCCTACTTCTCAGCTCCCTGAGTAGTGTCTCCTTTCGTCTATTAATCTTACTAGTTTTACACACTTTTCGAAGATTTCTGCATTCCATGCACGATTTTGTGCATGATGCAATTTACCTTGTTGTCGTTGGATGTTTAATTACAAATATAATTGGGAACATTTGATGATTGTTAGGGGCATACCGATCAATCTCACCAAACATCTACCTGTCTATTGAGTTCATATGAGAATTCAAGAAGGTGAAACGGCAAGTGAAATAAAGAAAATACTGGAGTATTTAGGACTAATCGGAATATTAATTGACAATACTCTCGCCAATTTAATCCAACAAGGACTACTAATGGGGTAATGTGCGAAATTTGACGGCCCCTCCCACTCACTCAAGCTAACTCGTCAATCCTCATCGGATTGTTTTACTAAGAGTATTGTAAGTAATCCCCCTCCTTCTCAGTCTTAAGTCTTCCAATATTTATCTTGTTTTATTTAACCTAATGTTTCTTCACTTTCAAGTAAATAACACACTTTTCACTGTTGACACCTACTGCTTGAATTTTCTCACGTGCTATCGTCCTCAATAAACCATTTATGAACTACACCTTCAGAACTCAGTAACAGTAATCTTACAACAGAATTTCTTCACTAAATTTTGTATGCTAAATGATACAGCTGGGCTTCTGTATGAGTAAGGGAAATAGGTGGAAACCAGGGGGTGCCACACAGCTTCACCGTTCTATTTAGGAACCACTGAATAGTGCACACCAATGACCTCAATACGGACCCAACTCAGGATCTTCAGGTTACGAGACATTGGTGGCTGACCACTCAACTAGGTGGGCCGGAATTCACTGACCCGTGAATTCTGACTTTGTCATCTCCCGATACGGAGCTACTCTCACCAATGCCTTCGATGAGCATCCACTTCACCCTGACATCGTGAGCTCCAACAGTCACGACTCCTCACTCCAGTTGACAAAATTAGAATTCGTGGGTCACTGAATCCCAGCCCACGTGACTGAGTGGTCTAGGATTTCAGCCTCGTAACCTGAATGTTTGGAGTTCGTTCATTGTAAGGGTCGTGTTGACACACCGCTGGTGAGTCCTGAAATAGATCTACACAGCTTCCCAGTACTCCCTGGTTTCCAGCTATCCCTCTGACTGATGTTGGTTAGTGAAGAAATCTGACGATTGGAATTATATTACATTATCGCCACTAATCAACAACGACTAGTCTAAAAAGTGTAATAAGGTATACTCCATCACAGTAATATTACATTAGGATAACAAAGAGAGCTATTCGTATGAATTTGTGCAGATGTCAGTTTAAAACGTCCGCGGAAGCAACTTACCCTGGTCATATTTGAGTCGATAACAGCCCACCTGAAATGGAAATAAAACAACCATCTTCTAGTATAAGAAAGTGTATTCGCATGCAGAATGCTTTTAGTGGTGATTTGAAGGTCTTCTCCATATTCACACTTCGTGAACGTACTGGTTTATTATTTGTTTGTATGTTTTCATTTCCAAAGGAGCATGTGCTTAGTTCAAGTTCTAGCAACATTATCTTATTTCAGTGAAATGAAAAAGATAATCTCTGAGCAGAATTATTGTGTTTCCTTAGACTTACCTCCTACATACTACTTACTGTTCCTCACGAGTAGCAGTTTCTTTCTTTTTATCAATGTAAGTCATGATTAGTTCGTTTAAGAGTAAAAATATGCTGAAGGTAATTGACGAAGTCAACTGTAAACGCACAAGTATTTTACAGCCTCAAGGTAGAGTCAACTGGGAAAATACGGCTATTTGAATTTCACTCCGCTCATATTTAATAGTTTGTAAACATTTTCCATCCAATCAACAAACAAACAAACAAACAATGTGAAACCAACTTGATATGAACAGCAAACGGATTGTTTGGGCCACTATCTGTGCGTTTCTACTACTTAAAATAGGTGTCTAAACGTCTGAAATAAGCCTAATACTTGGAATATCATTGTTATACCTCAACCATATTCGGACATATTCGATCCCCAGTAATGCAGCAAAATCAATGAACTGACATTCTACTCCTTTCCGTATCTACCACGGAAACAATGCTTGCTGGAAAGAATGACTGATTGCTCCATCAGATCTACGTGTCACACTGCTTGTTTTGAACTTTTTTAACATTTTTAACTCGAAACGACATAGAATATTTTACTTGGTCCATTGGCATCTACATGATATTTTTGTGTGTGTGACGCACCCTGTTTTGAGTGCAATTTCGCTTATCCCCCCACCTCCCGCCTTCTCTCCTCTACTTCTGTGTGTCTGTTTCATCAGACGTTGCGAAGGAAACTTTAGTTTCGGTTCAGCGGTTGTGTGATTGTCGGAGTTTACTGGCAGTTTATTATTAATCATTAATAATTGTTAAATCCCTCTCCGTTGTATATGCTGATGCAATTAAGTTTGATTTTAGGTTAAGTTTAGTGACTCTTTTATTGATATCGTACTGAAAGAACCTTGGGTAAAGATAAATATCATGAAGTTGGAATTCAAAAATAACAAGCGCAGATCCTATCACATCTCACCTACTTGTGTGGTTACAGATAGAAACTCACAAAAGGCGTTGGGACGTGTTTGAAAATTGTTGGCTTTGACATATAAACGATTCAGTGGTACAACAGAGTATCCCTCACTCGAATATAGTCACATTTTCTTCACGACTAGGTAACCAATTTAAACGGTAGACAAACAAACAGAATTATTCACTCGTTTATCGCATACCACTGGAATACTTTCGGAATTGTCATTCTCCACAGTCAATCTATAGGCCTAGTGAAAACTCTGTCCAAGCAGTTGACTACGATCTAACAATTTAGATACCACCTAAATACTTGTGAAATGCATATGCAGTCACTGGAGACAGTCAAGTAGTAAAGTCTCCAGTTGTGGACGTAGAAGGATAGACAATGAGAAAACAGAATAAGTCAGAGGCGTGTCGACCTTCAGATTAGGAAGGATATCTTGAGACCGATGGGATATTTTAGAGCCGAAGAAACTCAAACATTAATGGTGGTTTCGAATTTCACAACTTTCGTTCGCTGGTATCATTTTGTCGACAAGCCTGTTCCAGTAAAAGAATAAAAATGACCATCGAGTATGGACACATTTGCAGTGAAAATACTGTTATTTAAAAGAAGCAGGATACGAACAGAAATACGACCTACCTCTTTCAACTGATTATCAAGGACCGATGTGTAGTTGACGACAAATATTGGACCATGTTCATCTGACTTCATGCCCACCAAGTAGAATACATACATGAAACCGAAGAATATCAACAGGAGAATAAGTAGTTTCAAGGGCGAACTGACCCACGAAGGCTGCATTATTTTGAATTCCTAAAAGTGAGGCACAAGTGAAATTTTCTATATGTCTTTCCAATTAACTTGTTATTGACCTAATCCCAAATAGTCTAGCCCAATTTATGGTAAACAACATATCTCCTTCCCATAAATGCAAGCTGTCAACCCAGGAACCAGATATATTTCTGTGACTAACTTTGTAAAGGTCGCAACCCGTCAGCGGATAACCGGCATGTAAAGCATACATCAATTTGTGGTCAACTAACAGTCAGGCAGTATTCATATCCTGAGTGTCTTATAGAATAAATACCTCAAAGTAGCATCAATGTTATGTCCCCGAGAAAGGGAAGTAGCAGTTGAATAGAAATCCATCACCACTCATTGAAAACCGCTTATCAATGTCAGGTCACAAAATCAATATTAATGACTGATTCATGATTACTTCACATAACTCTAATTCAAGGTTATTGGAGGTGATGGAAGCACTTTGAATTAATCACATACATCCTAAACTATGTGTACAAAAAACAATAGACTTCAACCTTCACCTACCATGGACTAGTTGACTGTATAAATATAGACCAGTCATTAGTATGTACTTTTGTTTTATATGACTGAGTAATTATCATGCATTCCATTTTATTATTGTGAACCATGTTACTTGTAAAGGGGTTGTGAAAAAACTAAGAAACTAATGATATCATCTCGCGAGACGTCTCTTCTAAATGTCTTATTCAAATTTATCACAGAGACTAATTGTTTGAATTTGGAATATTTTATAATGGTTGAAATTTCATCCTTATGATATACAATGCCTAAAGCAACAAAACATTTCGTCATTACTTCAAGGAACCGATATCTTGGAAATCCCATTACTATTTGACATGAAAAAACGTCTACACACAAAAATAACAAGCTTTAGATGAATTACAGGATAGTAGGTTGTTCATTTGGATAAGTCTTTGCACATATTATTAAAAGAAAAGGCGTTCAGTGAAGAGTTACTCTTTTCGACGGTGTCATTCTTAAGCTGTAAATTCCTACATATATGTATATATATGTATGTCCATAGTGAATTCTCCTGGTGACCAAAGGAATATTTTCAAAGATGTGTCATTAGAATCGTAAGTTTTAGACAGCAATTAGTGTAACGTCGAATGCTTTGGGAATGTCCACTTGCACATACTCCTTTTTTCGACAACAGAATTTACAATATTTATATCTGAGTGTACAGCTTGAGAATGACATCGCCGAAAAGAGTAACTCTTCATTGAACGCCTTTTCTTTTATATGACTCATTGGGGAATTTCAAAAGACCTAAACTTCAAATGACGAAGCGGGTTCAGTTAACATAAACATCTATATTTCACTGAGTATGCTAATTAATTCATGTGATGTTTTCAACCGGTTCTAAGTTAGCTTAAGATTTATTTGACTCTGTACAACCTGCCTTTCATGCAACAATCCGAATGCATTCTGATGGTGTAATAAATGATTGTTGTCAATGAGGTTCAGTGTTTTCGATCACCTCTTAAGAGAAAGTTTGTTAATTTACCATTCACATCTGTCTACCACTAAACTCTGATTCCATGAGGTATAACAGCTCTCAAAGCTGCATGATTATCCGATCAAGAAAAACTTTCTCCAGACCAGATTTGTCAAATAGTTCATGTCATGATAAGATGCAAGACAGTATGAGTCATTCTTCATAGAATGCTTCCAGAGTGAAAGAATAAGTGAAGTACATCAGTCGAACTACCGGGTCATGTCAAAATTATCCAGTTTCGTCTAAGCGAAACTCTTATCCACCAACCAAGAAATTAGCTAAACGACGAAATGTCGTTCATGAACACAGAGTTAATCATCTACCTGAGGCATCTTTAAACACAAGTCGAATCACTCGGTGTGATTCTTTTGTCGTAAATACAGGATCTATATCAGCGTGACAAATTTTAAATACCACAAAGTAACATTCAATCAGAGTATCGTCATGACGTTTAAAAGGGACGAATAACTGGAGTGATGAGTCGTTTAAATAACTTAATCCTCAGACTCAACTGATATCGGCCCACAATAGATAGTAAAGGCAAACTAATATTATGTCGGACAGCGCGTTGTGGTTCATAAGATCAATTAGAGATAAAGTAGAAGAAGGATTAGTAAACAGTTAGTTTCGCCTGTAATTTACGTGGTACAGGCAATGCGGGCATGAGATGAAACACTGAAATGGCGCTCGTAAATTTCTGGCCAACAAAACAGAGTTTGAGTTATAATCTGTGGAGTGAGAGAAAATGTGAATACTACAAATAGGTTAACTTTGGAGGTCAGTTCAAGAGATGACAAACAACCCTGATAAAATGATCATGTGGTGTGGTCCCAGTGGAAGTTGGCCATCGTCAGCTCGACGCACACCATCTAAAGCAGAGATAAGACCACACTGCTGATACATTTAGTTCCTCTCTTACCTAACAATACTGGCGAGTTTTCAAGGTGTGCAGATAAGGTCATCCGAGTATGGTCTATTAAGTCAGCTTTGCAGAGCAGTTGAACGTTTGGATAAAGAGTGAAGAGGTCACCGGCAGTAATTTATCATTGACTAGCTACGTGAATACCAGTTTGACTGAGAAAATGGTTCCCATTTCAGCCGCCTGTACGGACGTTTTCCGTGATATTTCGTAGTCCTAGGAAACTATGAAAAAGGAGGCGACTACGTCTCCTATATGTGACTGAAGTGGTAGTAATCAGTGCCATAAAACCTGATATCTGAATCCAGGAGACATATACCCACCCATCTGTGTACCTCGGTCTACGATCGGATAAAAATTTCTCTACTAATATTTGTTGGTGATCTCCTTCTTCTGCGCTCCCCCCACCCCCACGTTTCATTGACAAACCTGTAACTCGGACATTTATTGTTACCTAAGCTTTCTTGTGAACACAGCTGAATTCCCCGCTTTCGATTGCTTCTCTGAAGTTATCTAATATTTTTCTACATTCGTCATTGCATTCACATACTCAATTAAGGGAATAAAATAAAGTCCACTTTCGTAACAATCGTGGCTAACACTCAACTCCAACTTCATTTCAGTCTATATTCACCTTATCTACATTTGTGCCTGCTTCTCCTTTACTTTCCTAGCTCTTTTCCAGAAAACTACTAACTAATAGAGTACATCTGGAAGTAAACTCACCCGGTTAATAATACAGACTTATCTAACACAAGTTAAATAGACGGTGTTCCAAACTATGAGGAAGATGACAGGATTTTCTCATTGTTTTGTAATACTATACTTGATGTGTCTTTCAAGATGATAGCTGTTAATCAGTGTGAATTAGGCAAGTTCTTGTGCTTTTTGGCCATGCTGTGTTCCCGGAACTAGATGATTTAATTGGAAGGCTTCCAACGTCCTTTAGGAGGACACTTTCAGTATCAACTTTTAAGTGAAGTATCCTTCAGGAATCCACTACGACTGAACAATCGTCTTTCCTAGGAACCTAGACTGTAACCTGTTGTTTTCGGATATTTGACATGTGATCACGTGACTTATTGTTTATTATGCGACAAATGTGATCTATGCCAGTGTCTGTTATTCTGATCCAGGATCACATGCTGTGTAATGAAACAAGTTAGCTTGAAGAATATGGTGAAGAAAAAAATAAACAGTCTGAGATAAAGTTTGAGTTTTGCTCCTAGACAGCAGCATTTCAGGAAACATGTGGACAGCTTTCAATGAAATTACAGGTTGTGTTAAGCAAAGTATTAATGTCCCCTCTGTTGATGTAGGTACTCTCAAGAAATCTTCCACACGCTCTCCTAATGTTGCTTTAGTCCGCAATGTAACCAATGACATGGTCAATGACTTTCGTGGTCTTAGCACTTTTGATGTTCTCAAATGTTTGGAATCTCCAAAATCTTTTCAGAGCCTGAGACCCGATGGTGTGATTTTGTTCAGCTGCTGTCGTCCTCAAAATATGTGGTGATATTTTTCGTCTACCAACTACAAACATATTGAATACTTCCTTTTCCAGTAACGTTGTACCCGCTGCATGGAAAGACATTAAAAACATCCCTGTACCTAAATCAGGCTCTGCAATTAGTGCTAAATTCGGGCCTCTTGCAATTACCTGGAGAAATTACTCTTAATCAACCGTGTGCCCTGTATAAAAGGTCTTATTGATGCTAAACAGTCCGTTTATAGACGGACCGAAGTGCTTTATATGCTGTCTCTAACCATGTCGCTTCCTGTCAAATCCCAATCAGACTGTTGCAAACCTAATAGCTCTTGTCGGACATCAGTCAGTGGTCTAAGCTAAGTGATCTTATGTTAGATCCCTCAAAAGGTCAGACTACTGACTTTTCATTCAGACATAAACGTGATCTACAACGACTGGTCAGTGCACATGATGTATGTAGCATAGAGGGGACTGTAATAGAAATCAAGTCCAACACAAATTACCTTGGTATAGTTATATGCTTTAACCTGACTTGGTCATCCTATATTTCGTCGACCTCCAGGAAAATGTCCCGTCTAAACTACTACACTAAGAAGCTAAGACAATCTGGAACACCTCAACCTCTACTTTTACAATTCCTTAATTCTTTCATCTCACCTACTGCACCTTACTCTTCCCCTTAGTCTTTCCTGGTCTACTAAAAAGGACTATGTCATTTTAAAAGGTATCAAAGGCTGTCAGTCGGGAAACTGGTGTGGTACTCAGTCAGCTTTTCACTATATTAGTTGATACACATCTGAATTCTTTCGAGAAGTAGTCTAAATCCATACTGTCTGATCTCCAACACTCCCTCTATTCCCAACTCTACCTTTGTATCTCATCTGGTAGAACTAGAAGTCAGTACAAAATATTATATGCTCATACAGTCAAATATAGGAAGTCATCGATACTATATTTGGCCCTTGTTCTATGCGATAGAAACAGTGTTAAGCGGGAAACTTATGAATTACTATGTTGTCATCAGAATAATCAGCTCTTTTATTATCTCCTATTTATTTATTTTTTAACTTATTTTTGATTACAGCTTGATTCCACACAGTATTTTTGGTACAAGTATGGAATTTTCAGCATGGATATCGGTAGCCCAAATTTCTCAGGCCGACCATAGATATCAGGTGTGCACCGGTGAAGGCTCGAAACCCGGACCATGTGCATGGTCGGTGAGAGTCCTAACCACTGTGCCACCGACGCAATCCATGGTGACACTACCTCGATTAACTGACAATCTTAGCCACCAGAATTACTATTTACAGGTATTTTACAGTTTTTGTGTGTTTATGTTTGTACTGTCACTGGAAATACTATCTAAGAACTGCCATTAACAACCCTCAAACATTATTTTTATGGTTGTTTTCAG